GTTTTTGTGATTTTTTTTTAATGGTTTAATTTTTTTGTGTGTGGTTTTTTTTTCTTTTTAGTTGGTTTACAATTTTTTTTTAAATTTTTTTGTTTGTTTGTTTTGATTTTTCTTCTTGCTATTTGAACAGCACAAAGAGAGAACACTGACAAACTGATCCAGGGCAGCGCTGCTGGATTACAGCTCCCCCACACTATGTGATTATGCCCCAAAATCCTAAAGGATTGCACTGTGATGCAAAGCAAATTCAATGCTYTGATAGCATGTAATCATCATGCTGGTGGAGGAGCAGGGTTTAGGATCACATTGGGGGAATGGTATTACCCATGCAGAGATGGAAAGCCTGCTAGCAGGACAACTCTTACGGATTAAAACCAGCTCCAAATGCTGCTTACAACATCCATATGGCATAAAAGAACAATTAAATAAGGATGTTTTATTCCTCTCTATGAAACAGAATTCTTGCACTGYTCAAACCTGCTATTTGACAGGCAGGTATAAAATCATGGGCATGGGCACATTTTCAATGCTCAGAAATTATCCTCAGAAAAATAATGCTCAGAAAATATCTCAGATTAAGATTCTTAATCTTTAATAATCTGTACATAAACAATRGATTAATTCTAACATCCAGCCCTCCTGATTGTTGGAAATCAAGACTCTGAATTCAGGTTAGCAGCTTTCTGAATTCTCTTGCTCCACCTAGCAATGCAAGAACAATTTTTCAGGGTTTAACTTTGAGCTCAAGTGTTAAATTCCACATAAACCACGTACTTAACACACATGAAGGAACTTCATCACTTTATGTTAAAGATGCTATAACTGGGAAGATTACAGAGGAGGACCTAGCTTCTGCTTAAGAGTTTTTATTAAGGAATAAACCACAAAATATCCCAGAAAATATACCTTATAGGAAAAAAAACCCAAAAACTTGGATGGGCTTGGAGCAACCKGGTGTAGTGGAAGGTGTCAGTTGGAACAGAAAATCTTTAAGGTCCCTTCCAAACCAAACCATTTTATGATTCCGATTCTGTCTAAAAAACAAACAAAGGTKCACCAAAACATCAACCCAGGCCACAAGACATTGTCCTAACAAACGAATATATTTTCCAGTTTTGCATCAAGTAGCTGCACCTGTTAAAATGCACGTCCCACCCTGCAATATTAAACCTCATTCACTGTTTAATTGAGGGTAACTAAGTCAGGCYATTTGAACACAGGTGCCTCTTCCTGCAAAAGTAAATAAAACTGGACAGTTTTCCCAGCACAGATGGTCAGAGATCAGGACTGTGCATTCCCTTTCTCCTCATGTTTGAGAATTTGATCCTGGAAGCCGGAATGTRGAGGCTGAAGTCAATGCCATCAACCTGCAAAATGTTTCTGCAAAGCTGCTGATGCAAACTTAGGGAGAAGCCAGGTTTGGGAATGGCACAGAAATCCCAGCCAGAACAAAAACTGAGCCTTTCCAATCACACCAGAACCACCAGGAAGATCCTGTGGCTTCCAAACTGAGCCTTTCCAATCACACCAAAACCACCGGGCAAATCCTGTGGCTTCCAAACCTGAACATGCTTAGGTTCAGCTTCAACTTCTCCTCCTACAGCATGTCCCAAGGCTGCCAAATGTCCCCCTGTCTGTTCCACCCTGGTTTAAAACTCCCCAAGCAGGTGGCACCAGCCAAATCACTGCCTGCATTGCAAGGCAYCAGCTCTGATGCTTTGGATCTTTACACAGCAGTGAGATGAGCTGTTTGAAAGCCTTCATGAAAATTGTTAAGCAGATAGTTTAGACATTTTGATGARGAGAGAAGGTTTTATTGTGACTTGACTGACAGTCTCTGTGAAGGGTATTTACAGTCTGACTTTTATTACTAAAAACACCGTGACAGGTAGAACTTGATGTGGATGTTTAATGGGGAGACGAAGGGAAATTATGACAAAAAGAGCTCATTAAACATTTCCCTCTTTTAGAACCGTTAATTTCACACAGAAAACTAGAATTCTAAGTGGAGCATGCACCACTTAATGGAAGCTTTTTGGGGTAAGTCTGCTTTCTTTGTCTGGCTTGATGTCTACTCTCAGTGAATGGAGAATAAACTGGTCTGAGGAAGGAGCAGAGAGAAAAGAATGAATTTGAGAAATGTGAATTGATACAGAAGAAAGGAGAAATACTGGGAGGGAAATGAATTCCAGCACAAGTGTGTGTCTGGAGCTGAGCTGCACCCCCAGCASAGGAGAATACAGGAGAGCAGGATTTGCTGGGAAGGGATGCAGCAAAGAGATGGGGAAACACAGGAATTAACTGGGTAAGCAATCTTTTCATCCCAATGTCAGAGAAGTGACTTGGCGAGCAGCCACCACTCGTAATTGAGTTCAGTGGGTCTGTTCCAATCCTGGGATCTGAGGTTCATCCCTTTCCGCCTCAYTTGCTCCGTATTTACATTCCCTGATATCGGAGATCATGAGGAGCTAGACCATAAAGCACTGTGACACCTGCTGACAAACGGCCTCACACCATGGCACAGCACTGTTAAGGACATGAATATACAATTTGAGCTCTTCTGCTCCTCCCTGGCACCAGCAGGGAGATGCTTCACACCTTCAGCCCCAGTGGGATCCCATATCCACAGGGAAATATTTGCCCAAAGAGTTCTGGTGCCTTAGGAAGCTGTGTCTTACTGAAAATCAGTGTGAATTACACTGCCCAGTTCCAAAGCAGCCTCTGAAAAGGGGATTCTGCCCCCAAACCTTCACACTGAGGTGGATCTCACCACATTTAAGCCCAGCTTTTAGAAGCCATTGTACCTRCAAGGCATTGAAGTTCACCTGCAGCCACAAAAGAACCATTTCCACATGTACATTTATTGCCACCTGAGATGTCATGCAGATGGGAGGAATTTCATAGAATCAGGGAATCATTTAATGGTTTGGGGTGAAAGAGACCTTAAAGGTCCCCTCATTCCAACCCCCTGCCATGGGCAGGATCTCCCACTGGAGCAGGGCTGTTCCAAGGCCAATCCAARCTGGAAAGTGGCCAATTCTCTCCACTGGCTCAGACAGCCAAGGCTGGAGGGCACCTGGATGACACTTCAGGATCCCTCCCTTGTCTGTGCAGAGACTAAACCTGCCTGGGAACACTCCAGAGCAAAACAATCCTAAGGTGGAAACTCCATCTCTGTCCAGGGACTGTGGGCAATTCAGCCTGAACTCAACCAAAACCCTCTGCATGGTTATGAAGAGCTCAATTTATCGTCAGCAGAGAGAATTCACGGTGCCTGAAACCTGTCAGGAGCCACAAAAAAGTTTCTCACTTCATTCATCCATTATGAAATTATTGAAAGCAAGACCTCCTAATAAAGGAAGTGTCCTTACATGTTCAAACCAGGTAGATGAGCTTGATTATTTGCCCTCAGATTGAATTTTAGAGGTTTATATAATAATGACGGCTATAAATTGAAAAAAAAATTATGGCAAGTGTCTCAATGACAGAGAGTCTCACATGTGGAATGGTGAGCAATAAATCAGATGGGCAGTGGAATATTAAATTGCTAATTTTAAGAGCTATTGCTCCCTTTTTTTTTTTCCTTTTAATACATACTAATATAAAAAGGTGAAACAGGCTCTCAGCTGCCTCTTTCTTCCTCTTCTCCTTTTCTTCATTAATTAATGTACAGAACTTGATTAGAGAAAAAGCTTCAATGCCTTTAAATTTAACCACAAAACAAAAAAAAAAAAAAAAAAAGAAAAAAAAGGTGCAACCAGCTTTATGGAGATGGCAGATTAAATGCATTTGATGATTACAGAATAAGTTTCATGTGTCTTATATCTCACAGCTGCTATTTACAGGACAGAGTACTACCAGAGTGTTTCAGACACACCACACTGCAACAACCTAAATGACACAATGTACCCTGAGCAAAACTTATGGTTCCTGCAGGGACAGTGAAAGAGTCAGGAAAAACACAGCAGAAAAAATGTAACACTGAAAAAGTGTATGAAAAATAAGTGGAAAGTTATTAATAAGTTTCCATGCCCACAAACATCTCACTCAGTGGTGGAATGTGAGTTGTTTTATCAGATTTTCCCAGGCAAGACAATGATGCCTCCCTGCTCCTGCTGGCTCATCGTGAAATATTCATGCCAGGGTTGGTTTGTTTGTGCAAAGCCCAGAAGTGTCACACTCCAGGTCCCCATCCAGCCCCTCCCCAGAATTTACATTTTTTTATTCTGCATCCCAAACTGTGCAAGTCACCACAACCTGGTGTCARAAAGTTTCCTTCTCTTGAACACAGGGCTCTTTCCTGTGCTTACAGCACTGAAATTCCTGACCTTTCCCTTTGTTTTTCTCCACTCTCACACAAATCCTCAGAAATAATAATTTTCTGTGCAACCAAAGCAATCCAACGATTTCTCGAGGCATTTATAGCACAAATTTATATTGAGCAGCAAATGCACACCTTGCTCTGAGGCATCTGTCACTTCTCAATCTCTTGTTACCATTCCTTACATATTTTGGGAATAAACACTTCATCTTTTSAAAATGCCAATACACAGAAGAGGAATGTTTTTTTTGGATACAACAGTATATAATCCCTATTTTTTAATATTGTACTGCCCATGCAAGGCACAGGACAGAAAAAAATAAGCTGAATTGAACTTATTTTCTTGTATCCTTAAAGCACTATGAAATAATACAGATTTGGGCCCCAGAGTAACTCTCCTAAGCATTAACAGGAAGAAAGCCCACTGCTGACTCTTAACCACAAATAACCCATTTACAAATGGTGACTTGCCTAGAAATGAGCCAGGAAAGACAGAAAGGAGATTCAAGCAATGAATGAGATGGATGCAAATGACATCACAATCCCAAACAACCCTTAAAACATCACTGACAAAAATCACACCACAGGGAATGTGCTGAATGTTACAGACAATTACTAAAAGTCACAGAAGCTAAGAAACATACTTTCTTTGCTGTAGATAAATAAGGGAGATACTTACACTTACAGGTTGACTTTTTGGCACATCATAAACACCTTCCTTCTTTTGGCTGGTAGGAACCTGCAACAGCAAAGGAAAACCGAGGTCACTGCAAAAGCAGGTTGGGTGAAAAACTGAAAAGAGCAAGTGGTATTTATGTGCAGGGTGTACAAAAATTAGTAGTTTATTTAATACTAATTTTTAATACTAATGAAACCAAGGGTGGTTCCCTTCTTATCCAAATAGTACCAGTAATGGAGAAAATAGTGAAGAAATAAAACATCTGATTTTTTTACAGAAGTGTTCAGAAAAGAGTTTCATTCTCAGATCATTTTGGTTATATGAAGTCCAGGTGTACGTGCAGCTCCTCCCTACTTAAATAGTTGTTTTTTTTTTCCTTTAACTTGAGGGTTAGAGATGTGCAATGGATGGTTATGTCAGGTGAGTTCATCTCCCCACATGAACAGACACAGAGCAGAGTTACCAAGATGAGKGTAGGGGATTTCCTTCCAATTAGTTTAATAACATAAAAAAGACACAAGGCTGCAGTGATGGGCCCTGTGGCTGCTCTGTGAGATTTTTGGTTACAATGCTGAAGTTTTATTAAGCAGTTAATGGTCTCTTCAAGTCTGACACATGGACAGGGGATGATGCACTTAAAACTTTGTGTGAGCCTTTAGCTGAGCCACCAGCCATGATTTGGACCCCAGGGATTTWTAACCTGCTCATACTGGGTAATATTGGGTTGTGCTTGCTCAAGGACCACTTGCATATTTGTAATTTGTGATTGCATTAATTTTCCTTCCTAGAAGCACCAAGTGTCCATGGTAAATGATAAAATCAAACAGAACTGTCATCTGTCCTAATCAGTGCTGCTTTTCCACTGAACAAGACACTCAGAATATGAAAGTTACATTTCAGACATCAATGAAACCTCCCAGGTCAGTAAGAGATAATGTTGCAAATATGATAAAATTATCACCTTTTCATTTTCTGAGACAAGTATCTTAAAGTTCTGATATTAGACTGGTCTAGGGAAGCTGAAGGATTGTTACGCTTTCACTGAGATGTGCTATAATTTCTTATTCTGTATGACTATTCTGAGCAATTTTCTGTATAATGCATTAAAAACTCTCTGCATTGTTGTCTTTACTGTTCTCTTGCCCCATCACAGCCTTCACAATAAACTGTGTCTTTGACTTRGTGCACATTGAAGAAATTTGTCAAAAACTCTCAAAGAAACTGAATGAACTCCACAAAAAGTGTCTTCTCTTCCTATCCTGGCAATAATTTGCTTGTCTTGGTTTTCTCTGGCCAMTTCCACTAAAGCCAGCATCACATCAGACACATGAAACTGGTGACAGTGGCAGAATTCAGTGCCATGGCAGAAATAATCCACAAAGAGAGAGAGAGCTGCAGGTGACAGTGTGGGAGCAGGAACCAGGAAGGGTCTGTTTAAGAAATCACAAAAGGAGGGAAATGTGGAAAGATAAAACTGTTTCTAAACTTTCACCAGGGTGCATTATTTTTCTTTTCTCTCTGAAATGTCTCCCTTTCAGTCACTCTCCTCTTCCTCCTTCCAAATTCTCTGTGAAGTCATCCCCATTTGCACATYTATCCAGAGCTGATTGTGGAATGAGCATTTCCCTGCACTATCAACCCCCTTTTTTTCAACTCCAGAAAAACTTTTTYATACTTGGAGAAAAGCTCCTGACTTCTAATACAAAGACAGAGAAACTTTCCTGAAAGCCATTTCTCCCTCCCAGCTCGGTGCTGCCTTTCCTTGCTGTGCACCATCCCATTTGTTCACATCCTGGCTTACACTAGGGGGTTGCAAGGAATTGCTGTTTTCCCTTTGATTAGCAGCACCAGGAAGASGTACCAGCACTATTTCTGCTGTCAGCTCTGTCTCTGTGACAGGCTGTGAACCATCTGGATGAATTTGCATCTTGCAGCAATAAAAGCACCACAATTCTGAACTCCCCATCTCAGATTGTCAGCCCTTCCAGGAACAGAACCTGCCTCTCCACAGACACCAGTGCTGCCACACAAACACCAAAACACCTCCCAAAATCCCATCTCCACCYCTCCAGAACACCAGGCAGGAGTGGAGATGCTATTAAGCAATCTGAGGTTAGAGGAGAAGGTTGGTGTGTGCTCAGTGATTRAGTCCTTGCCTAACAAATTACAGCAACTTACATAGATAATATTAAAAGAGCAGACACAGACAGTCTTTGGGGTAATGTATCAAAGAAAGGTGACAGACAGACAAAGAATGCTTAAAAAAGAAAGTTGTGACCTCTATTATGCTAAAAAGAAATAGAAGTTGTCACTTTCTGCACATTATCTTTCATCTGCAATTCCYCCCCGGGGTGGGAACCTTTTCCACCAAGGGAGAAGTGAATTTGTTGCACACCAGCAAATGAAAAGCCAGAGCAGYGCCAGCAGAAAGGTTTGGTGAGGCTGAAGCAAGGCTGCATGAGGTTATTGAGCAGATACATGTTTAGCAATGTGTGGAATGGGGAAGGCTTTCTAATAAATAATAGAAGCTGCCACAAATATGCTTTAAATTAAAAAAAAAAAACCAAAAAAACAAAAAAACAAAAAACCAAAAAACACAAAACCAACCAATCAACTAAAAATTCCAAAAAAAAGGGGAAAAAAGAGGAGGATCTTTTCTGATTTTGTTTTTAATAGTAGCCTGATGATTCTGAGATTACCAAAATGTTGTAAGAGAAGCAATTTCCCCAGTGTGGAAAATGTGGGCTGTGCAGACCCAGATTTGTGGAAGCCTGTGGGAGCTGGGAAGCTCCTGGCTATGGGCCAGCCYGTGGTAGTGATACCTCAGCATCCATCAGAAATACCAGAAAATGACTCAAACTCCCCAATTCAGCATTTGCTGTACTCAGGGAGTGCCTGTAGTAAACACAGAGCACAATGCCAGGCTGTGAATATCCAGAGTATGGCACATTAATCACAGGTATCTTCTGTGACCACGGTGGGAGGAAACACTTCATCACACCCAGAAACTGTCAAACAAAGCCTTGAGAAATCCTCTGGTGACTCAGAGGACAGGAACAGCAGCACCTCGAGATGAGGCAGGTATAAATTCCATTTTAAGGCAAAGAAACTGCCCCAAGAGTCCTCCTGTTCTCTGGAACATTCCTCAGAACACAGTTCCAGCTTCCTCCCTACCCACCAATATTTGCTGGAAGATCTACAAACACTGGGAGCAACAGCCCCATCTTTCTTCCTTCCAGCACTAATTCTATAAAGTGTCACTAAAAGCTCCACACTTTGATGAGCAACAATCACCATTTTCCCCCGAATGTAAGCTCTCGTGGGATTTTTTTTTCTAGCACAAACCTGACAAACAASAGCAGTAATTTTTTTAACATTTGCTGAAAGTAGTCAAACTTTCAACACTGAAAATGTTCAGCCTTAGGCAGACTTGCACCTTGAGAGCTTTGCATGTCTTTGACTGAAGATGCAGAAAGCAATTTTTGAGTGTGTGGTGGGGGTGCCAGGGGATCAGCAGGGATGATTAAATGAATYTCTTATTAATGACCCTGTGATGGCATCTATCAGATGTTATTTTCTAMTGTTTAACTTGCATTTCCCTTTCCCATTCAGCTCCTTTTTATTTTAGCTCACAGCTACGCTAGCCTTACATATCTTACCAAATATTCTCATTACTTAATAATTTTTCTTTCTATTCCTTTTGTTCTGTCCTTGCTCCTGCCCACCTTACAATCTTTTTCTATAAACTSTTCAACCTCTAGTCCAGCTGGATGAAATGCTTAATCACTGCTTGAAACCCCTTCCCCTCCACACTTTTCTGACAGTGCACTAAGGTTTCTGCCTATCCTCCTATTTGCCTCCAGTAYGTGATACAAAATGAATTACATTATATTTTAATAAACCTCGTAGTGATCCCTTGAGGAMATATTGAACGACAAAAGATTATTTTATATTGCTTTCAATGCARTTTTTTGTCAGCGTGAAGAATGCGAGCTTGGTCTTTAACATAACATATGCACTCTGAAAACAGTTTCCCTGGTCTGGGGTTTATCCCTYGAGAGCTCTGAGGTTTTGCTCAGTKATTTCCTTGGTTAAGACAGAAACAAGAGCAGTACCACTGAAATTTCTAAGAATTGCCTGGATGGTTTGCCAACAAAACATCTTCAGCATGTTTCTCAGAAGGGGTGTAAAAAAAGGTCAAAAAAATTTACAGGAATAAAAAAAGAGAATCTCCRTTTATCACCTCATATGGTGTACTCAAAAGTTTGTAAGTCGACAAAGTTAATACAAATTTGCAGAAGCTGATATGACAAACAACAGAAAAATCACATTGCAGACTGGGCAGATATAATAATGTCACCAGAATGAAATGCCAGGACGTTTTTTTTGTGATGGATGAAAACTAAAAGCGAGCTATGTATGAAATGCACTTTTCATTAAACGCTTGCGGGCGTTGCAATGGGAACAGCGAAGGGAGAGGATTTTATACCTGATAAATGTTTTCCTCCGTTTCAGGCTCACGGATGGGCTCGTGTCCAGCCTCAAACACAATGTACTATGGCAGCAGCGCCAGAGAGGGACAGTCAGAGATGAAACAGAAGGGAAAAAGGCCGTTTGGAATTCCACGTCAAAACAAAGGCACGCATTAAAGAAACAAGTTCAAAGCACAGGCTGGCAGCAGGACAACCGGTTTGTTGGGAAGCACCAGGAAAGGTTGTTTCATATTTCATAAACCGGCAATGAATAGGCCTAAATCTTCTCTTAATGATCATTAGAGCAACTTCCTAATTCTTTCTCGCCAGGGAGACTGYCTGTGGCCCAATATTAATTTTCTGAAGGCAACATGAATTTTGCCTCTTTTACATAATGGCAATTATTTCCACATATATTTATTATCTACGAATAAAAGTGCTAAATCCAAGCTGGGAGAACAGGCTGGAACAGGCCTGTGGAACAGGCAAAAGGCTGTCACGACACTTTTTCATTTTCAGGTTCTTGCTTTATTGTGAAGAGTACAGAACAAAATCCTGACATTATAAAAGCTGAACAGTAATTTAGGGCATCCTGACTCTTATCATCTTTCTTGCTGCACCTTAGGCACTGTTCAATATTCACTAATGGTTGAATTGGCTCCTTTCAGCGTGCCTCCCACTGATATGCCTAAGTGGAGGAACACAAAATCCCCAGGAAAAAGAAAAGTAAACTATCACAAATTTYGTTTCAGCACAAAAACATGAGAATGAAATTACATCTTTTTCTTCTTCACACTCAGCAGGATAGTGGACATGAATATATTGACACATTTCTGATAATCATCTTTGCTCCCAGACATTTTTCTTGGATGAAGCAAGACTTAAATTTCAGATCTATTATTAAATCGCAGCCCAAACGCCAACAAGGGAGTGTGTTACAACATCGATGCCACTGTTGGGTTTTTTTCCCAAATATTCACCCTCTGAATTAAAGTCTGGCTCCACAGAAAATAAAAAYAAAATGTCAACTTATTACTATCAGAACGAGATGTCATCTTCCCTACTCCTTGGAGTAGCTCCCTTTCCAGTTAGAGTTTGYATTAAAAAATGATGACAAATCTCATTTGGAAACTTAAAATCTGGATGTACAAGCCATGTGTTAAGTAATATTTATGACATACTGAATCTAATATTTCTATACTCCAACTGAACTATTCTATTCTACACAGACACATTGTGCTATTACTTACAGCTTAATCTCTAAATATGCTACATTCTGTGAAAATTTCAAAGGTTTCTCACAAGACCCCTCTCAGTAACTTTCAAAACAYCTTGTTCAAGGTTTTGGCTGTGGTTGAAGATAACATGTATCTAGTCATTTCTGAAACTCCAAGGCCATTCAGCTTCAGAAATTACCTGGTATACAGGATCTTCTACATCTTCTTCCAAAATTGTCTACAGCAAAGTAAGAGGACAGGCAGTAAAAGCAAAGAACATAAACAGCAGAGATAAAAGAACTGTATTCAGAAATTAAAGGACAGCAAAGGAATAAGCACAATGGGCAGGTAAGTAAATAGTTGTCTTTCTTTAGGATACAGATAAAGTCCCATTATGGCACAAAGCAACTTTATTCAAGTTCCATCCGWGTTTAACAATCTGCACCTTGTTTGACTTGATTCCAATACACACATTCAGAAATAGAGTGAATCTCCCCTAAAGTGTGAGACACTTAAATCCTGGCTTACAACATTAAATCCTGGTTTACAACACTTTAAACCTGACTTACAACACTTTAAAACTGACTTACAACACTGACCCTTCACTGAGGTTTTCCTCCTGAATTAGAAGAAACACTGAGAAAAGCAGGAAATGAACGGATCATTTCCAGCTTCTCCCCAGGTTCCTCACACCTTTCAGCTCAGTTTAATCCCAGTCTGAGCTCAGGATGCCTGCTGGGCTCACACCAGCCCTCTGGAAACCAGCACTGCTCAAACCCACTGCTGTCAGGAGTGCTGAGGATGCTCAGAGCCTCTCTGGAACAATTTGGGGGGATACTCCRAACCCAAATTTTCGTGGCAGTAGTCTAAGCTTATTGGTGTACCTGGTATACCGCCTGCTCACACTGTTTGTCCTTTTGTGCCTTTTTTTCCATTTCTTCCCTCTGTTTCAGTTCGTAGATGAGCTGAAACAGGTCTCGCAAGTCCAGGATTACAGGCTCAGCCTATGGAAGCAAAAAACAGGGTGAATTTCTGTAGGGTAAATCTCTTACCCCATCCTGCTGACAGAGCTAGAGCATTTCCACAATCAAACTTCACGTACAATTAATTTCTATCTCAGCACCCAGGCTTGGGTTAATTTCTACTGAACTAACTATGCTTGAAAATTAATGATAATTATAGTTATGCATATAAAAAGCATTATGAATATAAAAGGCACATGGATGAATATAAAGGCATATTTATTAGTGGTTTCTCACCCAATGGAATTACAGTAGACTACACACAATGTGGGTTTCCATGAGTATAGGAACATAAGCAAATTTATCTGCACCCAGTCTAGCTTAGCTAGAAAGGTAAACAATAACTAATTATAAAAAAAATACATCCTAAAAAACTAGGAATAGTGAAACACATTCCCTTTTGCCCAAGCTGGTTTTATTAATTTGCTATTTAAGATCTAGACAGACACTTTAGTGACCAGTTTAGCACAACCATAAACAACACAAGACTGGCCACTCGAACAGCTTTTCACAAAGAGCTTTTCAGCTGAGTTACACGGCAGAAAATGACAGTGATTTGATACTTACTGCCTGGGCTGTTTTTATTGCCACAAATCTATGATTTCCCTCCTTTCCACACACATATCCAAACGCTCGGTGGTCGGTGATATCCTTTGCGATGTAGGAAATTTCATGAACTGCGTGGTGATGCTGGAGTAGCTAAAAAAACCCCAAACAGTAGAGAATATACATCAGAATGTTTGATTAAAAAGCAGTTAATTTCTCCTTCACCACTTTACCTGGATCTCAACACATCTTGGTATCAAAACCAATTAACATCTGAAATCTTTAAGCCTACTTTTTTTCTCAAAATCTAACCAAACTTGACTTGATTTAGCAGGTTGATTAAAAGCTTCCACTGAGCATTTTTCTTGGTATCTTTAAGTGAAATAGATTTAAACAGGAAATGCATTTCCTAGCTACCAGCTACACAGCATCCCAGGCACAGAATCAGTATTTCTAGGTGCATAAATAAGCAGGGGCTGCAGAAACCTGTAGCTTCACACAGGGTGACTCTGAGGCCAGGCTGATCTSCAGAGCTACAGGTGAAAACCCAATATCCCTAGGAATCAGCACCAGACCTGGCTTATCTCTACAAAATTCWGCAWCACCAGCRAGAGAGATTTCATTTCARGCAGTAACASAACTCCAAATATTTATTTTCCCCAGRAAAAAAATGCAAATGTAATTATTCAACCGGAAATCAATGCTGAATGCAAAAGTTCACAGTTTATCTATAATCCCACTTTGGTGAATTGTAATAATAAAAAGATTCATTTTTGTTTTAAATGGGTGAGTAAAACTGCCCAGAGTCAGGACACAATTCTGCGACTCTTACAAGCATCTCTTGTAGTGCCAGAATCTTTCTTACTTTGGACTAAACTAAAAATTACTTTGATTTTATTATCAAAGTAATAGAGAAGTATTTCCACTTAGGAATAATGTCGTTGAAAAGCTTATCTAAAACAATCTATTAGTTTCAATTTCTACCTTCTGATATATTGACCTGCTCTTATATCATCTAGGGATAACGCTATTTCTGAGAGCAGGCAAAGCCTCACAAAGAATTCTTCTGAGGTCCAGATTCCTGCTGGCTTTGAGAAAAGCACATTTTGAAAAGCAGCATGGTGCCCGGGCAATCTCTAAACAACCACTTATTTTTAGAGTTAAAAAAAAAGGAAGAAGAGTTAAAAAAAAAAGGAAGAAGTTTCAAGATTGAGAAGCAGGGAGGACGTCTGTGAGAAGCAGAGAAAAGGCTGAGCATGTGCAGGGCAGGGAAAGGGATCTGAGGGGAGAAGCAGCCTCCAAGAGATGGATGGCTCCATATAAAACAAAAGACTGGACATGTTTCATTTTCATTTCACAGCAAATGGCTCTTAACATCCCCAGATCAAGAGAGAGTGAAGCRCTGCCACTGACTGCAGGCACTGACTTCACTGAATGCTGAGCTGAAGGGGCACTTCAGACTCTCCTGACGTGTAGAGCGTTTAAAATTAATGGTGGGATCTTGCTTAGATAATACAGGGATATTGATTTATTAGGTTTTTTTGAAAACCAAGTTACATGCTATCTGTTACRATGAAATGAAATGCTCCCATCTCTCTATTCTGCATATGACAAGGAACGTTATCTCTGGCTCCCATTAAATCAAAGTTCTCTGGCATTGCTTTATTGATTGCCAGGCAGCTTTTTGYGCTGAAATTAAACTGTGATCAGATGCCTTCCTCATGGAATTAAATCTGAAGATTGTTCTACCATGGAAGAGCATTGCCCACAAGGTAAGAGAGCAGATGGAGACACTCCAATGTATTTGGGAATACACATTCCCTTTAAAATCATTACATTTTTCAATGGTCATGATATTTTACACACTGTATCAATAGAAATATAAATTAAATGAAGGTGACTGCAACATTATCTTTTTTTTCTGTATTTTACTGGATGCAGTGAGAGCTTTTCACTTGATTGAGGGACACTGAGCTGGAACACATGTGAAATGCAATGCTGCGTGCTCACATCTGCACTCAAATGTAGTTATAAACACACCTGCGTTTTCACAGCCCCCAATTCACCTTATGTATCCTTTTTACATATTCTAATACTCCATTCCAGGCATTATTTAATGAGTGTCTGACTCTTTGCTCCTGCCATGCAGAAATGGTGCTCCCATTGCAGTCAGGAGAAATTCACCACTGTAAAATTCAAGATCAGGATCCTGTCTCTAGTGGCCACCAGCACATAGAAGAATTATTTCAAAACTCAGGGATGTTTCTGACACCCCTGTATGCCATTGCTGATGGATTCCATCACACACTATTTGATATTTTTATTCTATCTGTGCTGCTACAAACCATTTACCAATCCTTAAGTGAGGTACCAAATTGTTTTGGAGCACTGCAGCACGACAGAACAAATTATAGAGAAGACTTAATTTGTATTATGGTTCAACACAGTCAATTACATATTGCATAGATTAGAAAGTAATTTAACATTTAAGTTCCAGTTAACAAAATCCACAGCCTCCAAATTATTTTAGGTCCCCTGTGACTTTAGTCAGTATCGAAAATATTGGAGATTTTAAAGGGGACCACAAAGTCTTAAACTGAGTAACAAGACAAACTTGTGATGCACAAGTCCTTTTTTAAGGTTTAACATAATGTCATTATTACATTTTTTTCATACACTAAGAACATTTTCACCTGCTGTTAAACTTAAAAGTCCAAAATACCCATCTGCACCAAGCCTGCTGCCTTTCCTCTTCCTCTTAAGTCTGCTCTGGTTTCTCCAACCAGCCATTATTTTCTCTGCATTTCTCCATTCCATCCCCTGCTTCTCCTCTTCCCCCAGGTTGCTCCCTGTACATCACACTGAATTGATTTAGCTGCCTCTGAGATCTGTAGCATTTCTAATTTCCCTCAGGCTGCTTGGCACCTATCATAAATTTTTTCACCCCTTATCCTCATCTTGCCCCTTTATTTCCACGCTGTAGCCTCCAGTGCCACTAAATCAATTAAGTCAATCAATTAAGTACTTGGAGGGTCCAGCAATCATGTCAAAAATGTGAGTTAGATGGCATGAGAAAGTCACTGCTTTACTGTCGCTATTTCTCTTTTAATGAGGTTGTCTATTTAGTGGAGCCTGGGGCACAGAGTTAAGAGCCACAACAAAAAAAAAAAAAACCTCCTGCAAGCTGCAAAGCCTCCTGGAAAAGCTGCCCCACYGAAAGCAGGAGGTTTGTTCCACACAGCATTATATCCAGCAGGACAAGTTTCACGGGGATTTGGGTTGCACAGCCTCTAATTTCGAGTAACTGAACACTGAGCTTTCAGAGACTGAGACCAACTGGCAGCTCCACTGTGGATGCTGGGATGTGGGATACACACATGAACCAAGCCTATTCCTGACTATTTTGGAATAAGGAATAGCATATTTTGTCTGTATAAGATCCCTGAACACCTCAAGTTACCCACCAAACTGCAAAACCTTTAATCAAGGATATTGTAATCATAATAAATTAACATCATGGACCATTGTCTCAGCCAGGCTGCAAATCCCCTGTATTCCAAATGGCATTGCTCCCCAGTACAAAAGGAAATCAGGCCCTGCATATTTAGGAACACCACTGAAAAAACYCAAAAACCCCCAGAAATCGAACTAATAAGGAAAATTAATGGTGAAGCCTGAACAAGAAGCTCAGCAAGCCCAAAGAGCAACAGCACATKGACCATTACTTACAGCAACACACTCCATGAAAGCAGCGAATTGCARAACACATGAGTGGCTCAGAGATTAATTCTCCCTCACTGCTGCAAGAAAACACTGGGTGGTACAGATGGTTCTCCTTCACTAAACCCAGGAGGCTGCCGAGTTCCTTAACAGGACTCAAGATGTAGCACCTGTTCAACGYTCTTCATGGCCATTTCCTTACAAATCCTGTTTGTTTTAGCTGATGTTTGCAGGGATCAACAGCATTTGCAGGAATGGGGACAACAACAGGCCATAAGCATTTCCTTAACTGCCTGCGTTTGTGCTAAAATGCTTCTCTGCTGTTTCCTAAAAATGTATTAAATTGARGTGGTCTGGAGCTGCTCATCTTCCCTATAAATGTCCAACAGTCCTATAGGTGCCCATGGCAGTGGGGTTGGGATTAGATGATCTTTAAGGCCCYTTCCRACTCAAACYATTCTGTGACATGAAACAMCTGAATTCTCTACTGCAGATTCAAATCCCAAACAAATCTAGTTTTATAACTTCTGAAAGTTGCAGGAGATGGAAAGCAGTCCCTGTAAAAGCAGGTAAAAAAAAAACCCACCACCCAAACCCCCAAAACACCTTCCTRACATGGATTTTTCCCTGGTACCCATTAAGGTGCATGGATACCTGTTCAGCACTTATGAACCTTTCCACTTTCTGAAGAGAAAAGCATGCATTTCAGTGGGACTGTGCACAATTTGGAGAAAAAGTCAACAGTCTCAAATGTCAGAGTGAAATGAAAACCACACTAAGAAATTGCATTTGCATCACAAACTTTCTCATGTTGTTTTCTGGAACTTGGTATCTGGATGGCAGATGGGGTGGCAAGACATCCTGAGATAGGCAGGGGATGAGCACAAGGGGAAATGAAACAACCACTGCAAAAATCCTCAGTTTAATGTGAAGTGGCAGAGAGGAGACAGCTCAGTGTTATTGCAGAGCTACAGCTGACAACAGCTCCAAACTCCCTGCAAATTACTGCTGGACACAGCACAGGGGGACTGAGAAACATCCTATTTCCAATCTGACAGTCCTTCCCCGCTGTGATGAACACTYCAGTCACATGTCCATGGAGAGAGGACAGAACAAACAATATATGACAGCTCACAGTCATCTSCCTTAAATGGGATAGTGCTTGGTGTGAGGAAACACTTAATAACCCCCAAAAATCTGTTATATAAACATTTACTGGAACATGTGGAAAATTTTATCAAGTTTGATGTAGGAAAGGAAGAGAAAAGTAGAGTTTAAGCTTAGTAAATTATCTGATTTCCTACAAGAAGTGCAAGGAGTTTTGGAACAAAGCATCATTCCACTTTGGCTTTCAAAAAGAAATGTCACATGAAAACTTGAAAAGCAAAACCCACTGGAAATCTCTTGAAATCATGGAGATTTCAGTATTGGGA